TAATAAGTTTTCAGTGTCGTGATTTATTAGTTATAAATGTTGAATATTTGTAATATCTATAACGATTGACCTCACTGATAATTTAAATATAAATAAAAAAAAAATGTTAATGTAACGTAGTGTATGTAGAGCAGCTTATGTACACATAAGCTGTATAAGAAATACAGATTCCTCACAAATCAACAGTAGTACACGAGCAGGTCTGTTCGGGGAAGTACCGTGACCTCACAGAACCGTCGTGGAGCAGAAGTTTTATACTTCTGCGTTTTTAGGGTGAGTGAGACAATCGGGGCCAAATTTATTAAAAGCTGACAACACATCTTCAACCGTGGGTGTAGCAAGTGTCCATGGGCGGTGTTTATCACTTTACATCAGGTACACTGCCAGCTCGGTTAAGCAAATTAAGTAAAAAATCTTGTACGTGCGCAGTGTACATTGCACAAAATACACGAGTAACATAGATTTCTGCTCATAAGAATATTAAGATTTTTCAAATAGATGATATTTAGATTTACTTTTAAAAAGCAGATAAATCGCAATCAAAATTAAGGGTTCAAATTCCAGTACCATAGAAAAATACGCTACGACTTACTACTTTGTCAAATGTCCAAAGCGTTCGCAGTTGCCAAGAATTAATTGTGCGGAGACCACACTCTTTACAATTCTTTTAACGCCTTTCCGATCGATTTCACTAAAGTAAACGTCGGTTTTCTCTATAAAGTATTTTCAGCTCTGTTTAGCTTTGCCCATTTCATTTGTTTTATCTATCCTATCATCAGCCAATCGAAAGATTTTATCGTCATTTCGTTCGAATTGTATTTCTATTCGTTCGTATTTATGCATGTGTTTCCTACTCACCAATTGGTTTCTTGATTTTACGCGAATATCACACAATATCAAATGATTTATTTCACGAATTTTATCGCCTTTAATTTTAATTGTAATTCCCGACGTTTCGATCCCTTTCCAATGTTTAGTCTAAATCAATGTTAAAACCATATGTCATCAACGTCTAAATTGGTAACATACCTTCTCTAAATTAACTTTTTGATACACTTTTTCTGATTTTTAATTTCCGATAATTAACAGCAAGATGATCTATGGTTTTGGCGACAGTCTCGAAGCTGGGAATTGTGTTATAATACATAATTTTAATAATATTTTTCCTAAAATACTAAATAAATTGAATCAAATTTGATTAATTGACCCTACAATATTTGTAGTGATAGAAAGATTGAACAATAAGATCGCTAATATGCGAATACTTAAATCTGCGTGTAATTTAATTCTTTCTACTAACCGATTTACTCTTTGAATATCTTTATGCATCACAGAGGAGTTTTTCAAAGCGCTTAAACATATTTTTTGTAAATATATTTGTCAATGACATCAATTCGGCAATGAATAGTGATTAAGCAAATTGAGTTATTCGCCGGCAAATGTTTGTATACTGTGAATGGAACTGTCATTATGGTATCAAATTCCAATAGAAAGCTTAATGTGTCCCCAATTGTCTGACAGATCATTTTCTATTTTGATCATTTCAATGTCCATTAATTTGCGTTAATGTCCCTGTCGCTACGACTTATATATTTTTTTTTAATATTATCAATAACACGTTTTCTGAAAAGGGATACCAGGCGACAAATATTATTATATCAGCCTACGAAAGACGGTTGTAAAGTAGCAAATCGTAATTGGTCGATAGGTTCTGTGTGTTTTTTTAATAGAAAGAGAGTGGGTAAAATGCATCGACTTTTTCTTTCTTGAAAGACATCGGGATTTAGATCAAAAGTGGAGATAGAGGTGGGTGCAATTGTATTGGATGGATGTACGGAAAGTCGTGTGATAAAGCCGATCCAAGGTAGCGTTGGGATCCACCCAGGGATTTTCAGCTTATTTCCGAGACACGCGCCCGTTTCTGCGGCTGAATCCGTTGTTTGCACATGCAAATGAACCTGGATCGCTCCAGTCACGTGCGACAAGTAATAATGCCAATTGTGAATTTGATACAGATCTGATCCTTGCAGCTGCAGTGCATCTGCGTGAGGTAAATTCAGATATAGATATCTTACTGGGTTCCTTGATGCTTGTTATTAAAGATATTTGAGCATTATCAAACATGAGCAGGGTACGGGTTTATACAGGGTAAGGGTACAGGAATATGTCCAAAATGAACTTAATATATGTGACTTTAAAACAAAAGTAAATACAATACGTATTTTGTGCTGTCCTTTACATAAGTTGTAAATTTTAGTGGAACGTATTTTTATATGAAAAACATGTTATAGTGAATTAAGACATTGGATTTTAGAGTGTACTGCAAGAAGTGTACTTGACGTATGCATAATTTATCAATGTCGTCAGAAGTTCTATATATGCTCGAAATATTTAATTTCATCATTTAGGTCTGTCAGTGGATCTAATGTAATGGAAGGTGAGTTTTCCCGATTTGAGAATGCAAATGTTTTTTCCAATTACTAAGTTAAAAAATCACAAATCTCTACTCTCTCTTTTCAACAAGAAGAGTTCACAGTCTATTAAGAGTTTGATTAATTTACATATTATAAGTATTATTTTTTTCTTTCTTAACATACCTTTATCCCATATAAGTGGCGCCACAACATGTAATCATGCTATTAATGGTATTGGCCGCCTGTCTGACGTCAACTCCCCTTGGGAAGAAACACCCAGATCAATTAGCTGTCGCAAATACTTGTCCCGTGTGGGAATCAACCCACGACTCACGTCGCCGAAGCCAATGGCCTAACTAAAGCGCCACCGATTGATCATATATAAATTTTATGTCAAGCTATATCTGTTTACACGTTAGGATCAACGAATCTCAGTTCAGGCTTCTACCCTTAAACGTGTCATACACGATGAAACATTAGCGTCGAGTTCCACCGCAATGATTGCTTTTGCTCCCACGCGTCCCGCGTCCAGATATACCTGCGCGAGCCGAACAAACCAGAACAGAGAAACACTACAGCTATGTTTTAAACAAATTATATATAGCCACACTCGTTCCGGCTGGCCTTTATTCCACGCCGTGGCGTGACCGCCGGCCGATATCGATCTGCGAATACGTCGTGGCTGGTAAATGATAGAGCCCGCACTGGCGATTCCAGGGTCTATTTGCGTTATTTATCCGCCGATAGTCAACCTTCCAATCTATATGACGTATAATATAGATCGCCCCGCGGGCGTACGCAAAAGTAATGAATTGGCAAACGGCATCGACGCGATCGATGCAGATAAGCAATTAATTTTTTTCATGAGAACTTAACGAATGGGCTAGATAAAACTATGAAATTGTATGTACTAAAGAAAGTATGTAAAGTCGATAACTTACAGAAATGAAGCGAAATTTATTCCTATTTCATTTGAAGACAGACGGTATAAAGCAGTGGCTCCACTGCTGTTTTGACTGCGGATCTGACACTGTGCCTTGGAATTCCGTCATTGACACCAATTTTTTTTTTGTTTGCCAGGTTTAATACGTCAACTTAAATAAATAACCGATAATAAACAATGAATCAAACTTGATTAGGACTACATGGATGCTTGTCATTTTTTTTCTCCCGCGTTGGAGTAGAAAAACGTAAGAGCTTTTCTCTATTCTTACAAGAGTTGCAGTAAAATTCATAAAATAATTGCCAGTATTTAATTTCCTAACATAAATCCATGAATTCGTCCAAAGTTCGAAAGTAACAAGTTCAAAATTATCATTATATTGTCAATATGTAAATATGATAAATATAATATAATGGCTGGGATTTATTTAATGTCCTTTCCCAAATATCTGAAGGTGGTATGTTTTTGCTTTGCCTGTTTTCAGTTTCGCTTTGATCCCGTCTACCTGCGCTCCACACCACGGTGTTATAAAACAGATGGCTTCAAATAAGGGGGACGTAGTGCAAGTACAAAGTAATATCAGAGTTGAAACATAATTCAGTACTTATGCACGAAGATACTCTAAAATCAGTAAATAGTATAAAACAAAGTCATCCCGCTGTCTGTCTGTTCCTATGTATGTTTAGATGTTTAAAACTACTACGATATTTTTATAGGTAGAGTAATCACTCTATTGAATCAATAGGAAGGTTTATGTGCTTAATAAATTGCACCCGTGCGAAGCCGGGGCGCGTCGCTAGTGTTATATAAATATTCTAATCTCTTATAATTGTCATAACATATTACGCCCAACCCATCTTTCACGATATCATAATTTTGAGCAGATTTAGTCTGCGTTAAAAAATCGGAGTAAGTCCTGATTTTTCAGATAGTTTCTCGTTTAGCACTTCCGTGGTGGTTCTGGTAAAGAGACATTGTTCAACGTATAAATTTTCTCTAACTCTGCCCACCATATACAAGTTGAAGGCGGTGAGCTTTTATTACTATAAAACTTCATATAAAAATAACAATTTAACAGTGTAGAGAGCTACCCACAGACGAGTAGGCTTCAACATTCACAAGAGGTCATCGCTTTGTTTTACTTATTATGTTCCGAGTGAATGCATTTTCCTCGAGATATAACAGTTAAATAACCACCTACGTTTAAGTAAGCGGTACTCCTATACATTTGAGACCATATAATAAAAGAAATAAATAATCGTAAATAGTACTGTGATTTTTGTTGGTCCGTAGGTGATAAATAGGTAATACTATCTAGTATTACTTTTACTAAATAATGTGAAATCGTAACTATACTTGCTTATGGTAAAAAGTGTAAGAAGAGGGGGGTGGAAGTATCGCATTGTCTGGTGAGTGAGGGTACCGAAGCAAGATTTTGTAATGGTTAGCAACTCACTTGCAACCCGCCAGGTGATAAATATGTCAGCGTAATCGGCAGCGGCAATCACTTAAAATCAGGCAGACCATCTGCTCACTTGCGGACTTTTTTTTTAAAGAAATTACAAAAATGCAAACATTTTATCCCTCTCTTTATCATTCTGTCTCACAAGCGACTTATCAGTCACTTATTTTTTTATTTGCAGATTCCACAGCCGATGCACCATGACTCCACTCACAGAGCTGAGTAGACCGGAGGGAGGTTACATAGTGGTTATGTTACGTCGCGGACAAAGTCGCTCGCCGTAGCTTGACTCCACTCGTTTACTCCCGCGACCGTTCAGGGGACATTGCTAGTAAGAACGGGGCAAACCACACAAATTACATAAAAGTTTACATTCTAAAATAGACTAAGCATGGATCAATATATTCAGAGCAAAGAGGTTAGGTTTAAATACAAGTACAGAAATACCATCAAAAAGGATTATTAATGAAAAATTAAGACTAGCAGCATATTAGCGACATGCATATGGCTTATATTATATTACATAATAAATAAATATATCACGTCTCATAAAATAATTAAGAATGCTTTCATAATTAATAAATGACTTCGCGGCGCAGTTGCCAAAGTATTGACTTCAGCGTCAGGGGTCGTGGAAACCAATCAATCGACTCAGAAGTAGTTGTTCCGTGAAGTAGTTGTTCCGTGTGGAAACACGGAACAACTACTTGTGAGACCCACAGATAGTTGTTTCGCATCTGGGTGTTTTTGTCCATGTGAAATTTATGTTTGTAAAACGTTCTTACAACACAGGATAATGTTATCCTAAAGTAAGGAGTAAATAAACAAATGACGTGCTTGAAACAGCTTTCAACCATTGCTTGTATAGGAATAATGAGAAGCTATGTGATAAACCTTAGCAGAGCTTTATTTCTAGCAGGCAGGTTGGGATTAACGGACTATTTCTAATTACTTGACTATTGATTCCACCAGAAATGAACCTACTGAACATGGACGCGGAAAACCGCGTGGTGCTGAACGTTGGTGGCATCCGACACGAGACGTACAAGGCGACGCTGAAGAAAATACCGGCGACGCGGCTCTCGAGGCTCACCGAGGCTCTCGCGAACTACGATCCAGTTCTCAATGAGTACTTCTTCGACCGTCATCCGGGCGTCTTCGCGCAAGTTCTCAACTATTACAGGTATAGCGTATGACTAAAGTAATACAGGTATATCACGACAGAAATTGAGTGAGAAAGAAGAAGTTTCTTGAATATTGAAGGTATTATGTGACCCTAAATTAGTTAGAACCAATTTGACTACCCTCATGCCCAGGCAAATGGTATCCAGCCTCTCAGTATACCACAGGCTTCATTTTAGTTTGGATCTGCACGAATTGATTCTCCGCCCCTTACCATCAACGGACAAATAGACGCTTGGTGGATACATCTTTTTATTTTCGAAATTCCACATAGCGAACGAACGGGAATAACATGCCAGCGTCTGCGAGATCATAGATTGGACGTCTCGAAGAGTAGAGTAGTTTAGTATGCTTTCTATGAGCTGGTGTGTTTATCATCTACCATCACAAGTCTTAATATCAGGTGGGATGGTGGTACAGCAATGGCCACTTACTTAAAAAAAAGATAACTACTACGATAGTACGATTCCAGCCCCTTTTTTGTACATTATGAACATTAGAAGAACATTATATTAAAAGGCGAATGAATGATGAAACCGAATTTATATTTATTAAAGTACCATACGAAAAGCTCACGTTATTTTCCCGACAGTATCTCATTTGAATTACATTATTAAATCCGTTTGTAAGGAAAAAGAAAATTTGAAATATTTCTCCTACATTCAGCACACTTTTTAATACGTACTGATGTTATTCTGTTGCTCTAGTTTCGAGTAGTAGATATAAAAACTTGAATTATATTTTCTTCAATTTGTACTCCGATGCGTGATTATTAATTTAAATGTTTGCCATCTTAATATTATTCAATACACGTCCATAATTTTGTTAATCATTTGCACCAGTATATTTCATCAAGTTTTTTTCATTATATTAGATACAGTTAGAAGATAATGGATATGCTAATTATTATGTATCATATAAGATAATTAACACATCCATCATCAAACATTCCGTTATGTCTTGTTTACATGTATAGCACATATACTCTGTTAAGGTTTACCCGGTTATAAAAGTATCATTAAGACTCTCACATCAGCGCATTTGGGCGTGTAATTAGTCTTTCAAAATCCATTACATTCCAACGCCACCCATATACCGCACCCCGATTTATATATATATATATATATATATATATACATATCTGTTATTTCTGTTCTTGCTCATATAACACACAAATTGATTCACGTTGATACGGGCCAGACACTTTGTGGGAGCTTGCCCCGTTTCTGATTTCTCTGATGTGATTCGGGTCGAGTTGTTCTGAGATTGATTGATGTAGCAATCTACGTGATATTGATTTGCAGGCTGCTTAAAAGTTTTTGGTTAGACGACGGCACGCAGAAGACGTAATGTTATTATGTATTGGCCTTAATGAAATTCCTGTGTCCAACAAGAAATATTTAGTCACTGTGGTTGTATAATCTATTACTATGGATGTATGGGTTTATTCATGAGCTTATAATAAGCATAGAGAAACTGATGCATTGTACTACTTCTTGATAAACAAAAGTTCATTTACATTAGACAAGTCAAAATGATACTAGTGAAGTGAAACTCTATTTTACTGATGAATCTAATTTTTTATGTATTTAACATATTTTGTATCTAATTCTGATAAACAGGCATGTAGGTCCCATGAATTGCTATTCTCGAATATTCGGATGACCTTAATGAATTACATTATTATAAATAAGCTGTTTAGAACACTAAAGGTCCCATAATTTGCAATTCTCGAATATTCGGATGAGCTTAATGGATTAATGGATTAAATGATTATAAATAAGCTGTTTAGAATGAAAAAAAAAAAAATAGATGGTTCAGTTAAGCTTATTTGACTGAAATGATATGCTTTTATTTTTCATTTGAATTATTATTATTTTTTTAACATAAAATTGTTCTCTAACCTGATTAATATTTTTATGTTCGATCAGGACTGGGAAGCTGCATTATCCAACAGACGTTTGCGGGCCGCTGTTTGAAGAGGAGCTCGAGTTTTGGGGTCTTGACGCGAATCAAGTTGAGCCATGTTGTTGGATGACTTATACCCAGGTAATTTAATTTTAACACGTATAAATTCAACGGTCTTCCAAAGGATCACGCCAATGCTTTTCAATAGGATTGAAGAACAAGACGAGAAACGAAACGAAGTAACTTGTTGCTATGCATTAGTTATTGCGAATCTCTCGTCTACAGCAAGATCACCGCTTATTTATCTTAAATTCTCGTAAATCTAATGTTAGTAGGGACTCAAAAGACTTAGCAACTGGCTGCTTGAAATGTAGGTCAGTGGGTTCGCAGTAATTGAAACCTCAAACTTAGAAAATAATTATCATGATCTCATAATCGCATCATCATCATCATCATCATCATATCAGCCGTAGGACGTCCACTGCTGAACATAGGCCTCCCCCATTGACTTCCACTTCGACCGGTCGTTAGTGGCCTGCATTCAACGCGTCTCTGCGATCTTGGCTAGGTCGTCCGTCCACCTTGTGGGAGGCCTTCCTACGCTGCGTTTGCCGTCACGTGGTCTCCACTCGAGAACCTTTTTGCCCCAACAGCCATCGGTTCTTCGAGCTATGTGCCCTGCCCACTGCCACTTCAGCCTGCTGACTCGCTCTGCTATGTCGGTAACTCTGTTCCCGGATCTCCTCATTTCTGTTTGGATCTCGTAGAGAACCCCCAACCATTCCCCTTCCATAGCGCGCTGTGCGACCGCGAGCTTCCTATGAGGCCCATAGTGAGAGACCACGTCTCGACACCTCATCGCTGGTAGCACGCACTGGTTAAAGACTTTCGTCTTTAAGGACTGTGGTATTTTGGACGTAAAAAAAAAATAATCGCATCATCGATCTTTTATTAAGATACCATAAATATCTCCATCTCCCTCTAGCATCGGGACACCCAAGAAACCCTAGCCGTCCTCGATCGCCTCGACTTAGACACGGAGAAACCGTCTGACGAGGAAGTCGCCCGCAAATTCGGATTTGAGGAGGACTACTATAACGGAACGGTATCGTGGTGGCAGCAACTCAAGCCGCAGATGTGGTCTCTCTTCGATGAGCCGTACAGTTCGAATGCAGCAAAGGTAATATTGGAAGATATGCTGTAAAGGAATGTGTTGAAATATCAGCACATACATACGCATAATATGTTTGGCATAGGTACATAGGACACAGACAATATTTAGGCTTAGCAAACCAAGCCTCTTCTTTAGATGAAACAGGCGTGTGTTCGTGGGTACTATTACGAAATGTTTGTCAAATATTCTGTACTTGAAAAGAAAGAAAAGAAGGGAATAGTGAATGACACACTGTGCGACATTATTTTCGTTACAAAAATAAAAATTATTGGTTCTAAAAAAATCTTTCCTTTCCAGATAATCGGTGTGATTTCGGTGTTTTTTATATGCGTATCGATAATCTCGTTCTGTCTGAAGACTCATCCAGACATGAGAGTGCCGGTGATTAGGAATTATACGGTGACAACCGCGAACCAGACACAAAGCTGGGCCCTAGATAAAGTGCAAACGAACGCGCACATAGCTTTTTTCTACATCGAATGCGTGTGCAACGCTTGGTTCACGCTCGAAATACTAGTGCGGTTCATCTCGTCGCCGAACAAGTGTGAATTTGTCAAGTCGTCCGTCAACATCATCGACTACATCGCTACGATGAGCTTCTACATCGACCTCATCCTCCAGAAATACGCGTCGCACGTCGAGAACGCGGACATCTTGGAGTTCTTCTCGATAATCAGGATCATGAGACTTTTCAAGCTCACCAGACACTCATCCGGCCTCAAGATACTAATACAAACTTTTAGAGCGTCAGCTAAGGAGTTGACGCTTCTAGTTTTCTTCCTTGTGCTCGGAATAGTCATATTCGCGAGTCTAGTTTACTACGCGGAGCGTATACAAACGAATCCGCACAATGATTTCAACAGCATACCATTGGGGTTATGGTGGGCATTGGTCACCATGACAACAGTGGGATATGGGGACATGGCGCCGAAAACATATGTTGGTATGTTCGTCGGAGCCCTTTGCGCGTTGGCGGGCGTAAGTATACTTACATCAAAGTGTTTTGTGTCGTTCTACGCGTCTTTAGTTTAAGTTCCCATTGTAAAAGAGAACATATCATTGAACATCTAAAATATGAATGTAAAAAAACTGTGTGTACTTATGTACGCAAGTTAGAAGTTATACTTCTAGAGCGTAACAAAAGAAAAAAAAACTAAAAATCATATCCCCTGTGCCAGTGCTCTTTATTTGTGAAAAAGACAAATGTAAGGTTTTAATAGATAACTTGTAATTATAGATGAATAGCAAAAATTTGTTATTGGTTGATAGGTAATACCGTTTAGTGTAACTTAAATAATTTCATTCTTTTTTTTAGTATTTTATGTTATAGCGGCAACCGAAATACATCATCTGAGAAAATTTCAACAGTCTAACTATCATGGTTCATTAGATCCATTACCCCCTGGTGACAGACGGATAGACAGTCAGACAGACAGACAGCGGAGTCTTAGTAATGGGGCCCCGTTTTACCCTTTGGGTACGGAACCCGGAAAATAATCGTACTTAATAGTCCATCAATAAATATCCTTGCATTTCTTTTTACATTACTTAATCCAAATATTGTTAATGTAATCACATCGTAAAAGTCAAACTCAACAGGTGCTGACAATAGCTTTGCCGGTGCCGGTCATCGTGTCCAATTTCGCCATGTATTATTCGCATACACAAGCGAGGGCGAAATTGCCTAAGAAGAGGCGGAGAGTGATTAATGTTGAGCCAACCAGGCCACCCCTAAGTAAGTGACTCAAAGTAAAGGAAACAAAATTGCTTTTTCCTTCTTAAAAGTGGCGGAACTAGTGGTAAATTTAATACGTTTCCATTAAAATGGTAGAGTCTCAATTTTATGATGTTATCATTAATAAAATTCTATCATCTTCCTGTTCAACTGGATGACGCATAATAATCAAACAAAAAAAAAGTATGTGTGCGTGTACTAGCGTACACTCGTAAGAAGTGAAACTTTTTTATGACGTTATTTTTCAAAAAAAAATTTACTATATGCAACTTTACAGAAATTGGTAAAATAAAGTTAAATTAATAAAAGGCTTTTATTATCATAGACATAAATACAAATTCTACAATTATTTCATTTTAGCTTTGTATAATATTTAGTTTCTTATTTGTAATACATAGGTGGCGTTAGTAGTAAATTAAAACACACTATGGTTTGACCGTTGTAATTAGTATGAGGGTCCGCAAAAATTGTTTGATTAAAACCCAGTCAGATCACAGCTACCGATCGAGCCGAGGTCCGGCCCTTAAAACCCAGTCAGATCACAGCTACTGAGTGACAGCCCAAGCCGAGGTCCCCTCTCGGGGACCCTTGAGCCAGATCACTCCATGGAGCCCCCGCCAAAGCGCCCTAAGAGCTAGGCGGCCTCCCAAACCGGTGAATTAAATAGCGTGACGGCCCGAGCCGAGGTTCCTTCGGGAGCCCTCAAGCTTAGTCACCATAACGCGTAATAGTAAATACGCGAGGTTCAGGCTAGGCGCCTCGAGCGCCCGGCCACCTCAAGTCCGTCGGATCTGTGAAGGCCCCTAAGGCCAACAGTGGCTCATCCAGCCCCAAAAAAAAAAAAAAAAAAAAAAAAAAAAAAAAAAAAAAAAAAAAAAAAAAAAAAAAAAAAAAAAAAAAAAAAGTTGATTAAAAAACTTGCAACTTGCGTCCTTCGTTGCCGAATAGTGAACCAGTGAGTAGACGGCAGACATTCGACTCGCGCGCGAGTGTTTGTGAGTTAAGTTTTTTGGAAAACCGAACTTGCGGACGTTGGATCGACGTCGCAACCGCAAGTTCCAGGAGCCGATCGAGGCTTCGAAGAGCATCATCGGTCAGCTTCAGATTGTGTCTTCGGTGGAAGGCGCAGTCAGGTCACGGTGGGCGGTACCTGCCTTTGGAGAAGAGGAAGTCTCTACAGTGTCGTGCTCTGAAGTAAAGTATTAGAGCTAGCACTGTCATTACTACAAATATTATTATTGAATTTCATTAATTGTAATAGAATTATTACTATCATTGATGTCGTTGTTAACTGAAATACGAAATATATTGTTTACATTTTAGAATTACAATTAAAATAAACCCTTTGATTTTGCTGATCACTTTAATATAACACATATATATATATATATATATATATATATATATATATTGTTATGAACACACAAAGGAACTAACGCCATCTAGCGTCAACTATTAAAACCACAACAACAAGATGACGCGTAACGCAAAAATGTTACACTAATTTTTTCCCAACCCCGATAAAGAAGTTTCACTTCAATAATCAGGGAGATATATTTTGTCTCAATTTGAAACAGACACTAAAATACACTGAAGAAGGATAAATCAAACTTACCAAAGCGCTCCCCACTTCGTATATAAACTCGGAAACATAAACTAAGTCAAGAAATGCGGCTAGCTGTTAGTGGTACAATTCTTGTCACGCCTTGGCAATGAATCAAAGACACTCCAAGCTACAGGTTAACTCGATATAAATGAAATTTCTTTCAATGATCACTTTAGTTTTCTTTAGAAAGACATTGAACACTTTAGTTTTCTTTTTTTATTTAAAGTTTAAGTAAGCTGCTAAATACCTTGTTAATCCAAATAAAGGAGCTCCAGGCGTTCCTGGAGCCCCAGCAGGGCCATTAGCACCCGGAATGGGGCCACAAGCAGTGAACAGAAGGATGAATGCTATTAAGACCAATCACCCTAAAGATATGATGGGACCTAACATGGGTAAGACAACTATTGTTACTATTGTTGAATGGGAGCTGTGCTATATTTTACATACCACTAATATTAAATATGATAAATAATTGTATTTTGGTTCATATACCCTCTGGATAAGTATTTCCCATAATTTACTTGATCTTTAGATATATATTCAAAATGGATAAAAGTGTTAAATATATAAATTAATTTTAATGTATAATATGTTTTATCTTTTTTATCTAAGTTAAATGTGTACAGTTGTATCTAATCAATATTAAAAAACATTTCCAAATTTGTTCTCACCTCTTGTTATAATATGTACTGTTTTAAAGACAAGTTGCGTATAAATTGGCCTTTAAAGTTTAGTAGCCACTGGTAGAAGTAATTGTAACGGGCACTGTAAGCAATCACACCGCCATTAGATGGTGCAGCAATGGTCAGCATTAAAACAGTAACAAAAGAATTGGCAAAGCTCACTACTACTAATAATTTGAATACAAAAAAAATCTAAGATCAAAGGAGAATTCTGTCAATACTAACACCGTATTAATCAACAATCGTCTTCAGGATATAACACTAATAAGTTCAAGTCATAGCCAAGGATAACAGATTTTGTAAAAACGCTAAGCTAATATAATTACTAATCAAACATGATTTTAGGAACTCACCCGACTAACTTTAGCTTACGCTATGTAATCGTTCACAGATGGTGATCGTAGTGAGCTTGAGGCTATGATCCAAACTACACCAAACAACTGCAAAAGAAAAAATTTAAACATGCTTTAAAAAGCAACACATTGTACTGGCGCGGAATGCTCCCAGAACGGGCTTAGTATGTCGCCTGCACATAAGGAATTAGCTTAATGGAATGTTAAAATTAACTCATAACTAACCCGACATCATACTCATCTCCACAATGCACTGTAATGTATCTTCAAGCAGCAAAAAGAAGCCAACAACTAGGTCCCATTGCTTCATCGGTGACAGCAGGAAGGTTCGGCACAGTTTTAACATTTTAATTCGAAAACTATCCTGCAACAGCTAGTCGCTTACTTGCTCAAAGGAATCGATGTTGTCGTAGAAATGTCTTTGAAGTAGATATGTTGTGTAGTACTACTGCGTATACCAATATTATTATTATAATTGTTATTACTTACAACACATGTATGATTATTGTAGTTTGTCGATAATTCTACAATTGTTGATCTTGTGATTTTTATTTTGGTTGGAATTTAGTTTTTATACGGCTTTTTTCACTCTACCAGTTTATAATCGTCTAAAATAAATCTAATTGAATAGAATTTTTTCAGGCAACAATCACCAATCTCCCATTTATTGTAACACGAGACCAGCAGCAACTCAAATACAACTGAACACAGCGGTACACCACAGATATTTTCAGTTCGTTACACTAACAACGTATGTGGCAAAGCATAGAAGTGTGAAAACTATAGCAATGTCCAAATTCTTGCGCGTGAAAAAACCTTTTAACATTTAAAAAAGTGTTATATAATCCAATCGAAAGTTAAGGTTCTGATAAACTAGCACATTTATTTTATTTACATACATATCAAGTAAAGAGCCGCGATAGCTCAGTGTCCCGACGACCGCTTAATGCAATGTACTTGAGCAACCAGATTTATCACATTCTGTCCGTTGATGGAAAAACCGTCAGAAATCCGGTATATAATATCTGGAATATGAAGGAATACTATCGAAATTATATAAATAGAAAAATTCGATGATTTATTAAGTCTGCCAATCTGTGGTAGGGTCATGTGGTGAACTATGCCTTCACACCCTCTGGACAGACGTGGCCTTTGCCCACATTATGTACAGTAACGTACTTTATTCAAAAATCATGACTTGATAACTAACTAAATCACACTGTACATGTACCTACTTCATGTGACAGTAAAAAGTTAGGCCAGACCTCCTATAATCAATTTGATAATGCTGAATATATAAAAATGGTCTTGTCTATATAAAATCTCTGTAGATTTATTACCGTAAGGTTTTCTAAAGTTTTGCAATAGTTTTCACCAAGATATGGTAATGTTTAACATCGACGCTTTTCAATGTGTTATGTAAAGTAATTTGTGTCTATTTGTTTAACGTTTTGCTACTTGTAATTTTCTGTTCTCGTTGTTTTTCTGTACATCAATTAATTCAACATTTTTTCCTTACCTTTATTGTTGTGTCCTAGCTTAACTCCTCTTGAATTGATAAAATTAAATTTCGATGTAATGTTGAGATGAGAATCTGATTGTTTTTTGATTTAATTGGTTTCCTTCAATGATGTATCATTTATAATTCTTGTTTAGTTTAAATTATATTAATTACGTCTGATTTTTACTTAGAGCATGTTATGAGCATGTGGGTGTAATTATTTTTAAAAGCCCGTATAGTATGCGCTTAATACCCTGAATCAATTATTACAAATATATCAACATTAATTATTGTTGAATATTAGATGATTTCAATACAAATCTTAAACTTAATGAAGTAAATTCATCTATGCCACAAGTACTTTATAATGAATATTTTAATTCAAGATAATTATAAAGAGGTAAATATCCTAATACGTCTCATTTAATATCCTACAGTTGCGAGCCTAATGCCTGGAATGGACTTATCAGTTGCAACCCGCCTTACGCCGAGTCCAAGAGATCTGAGTCCAGCACTTGCGATAGCGATACCGATAATGAAATCAGTGAACATAGTACCAGCTCAGTGTTTCGATAATATGGCCTTCCACAGCGAGAGGTCCGAGGAGGGAATAGAACGCGACAGCAGCGGAAGCAAAACAAGCAGACAAGAATCAACTGAAAGCAATAGCACAGTGAAAGCGAACAACATTAAAAACGAACTTTATGCGGACAAAAGTCTCGACTATAGGGTCGACGCGAGGACGCCGCTGTTAAGGGACCATAAAATCGAATCGCTGGACGAAACCAAACTAAGGGACAATAAAGTTGAGAAAAGAAAGTCGTCTGCTTCGACTTAACGTTTAATTTATGCGTTTACATCGTTGATTAATGGGAGCAAGCGTTTGAATTATTTTTGGAAGAGACCAGATTAAAAATACAATTAAATTTAATTACGGTTTAAATTTGTAACGGGAGACAATGCTTGCTTACACAGATGCGATAATCGGTTATTATGATCGTCTAATTTATTACAAAATTGATTTTAGACAATGATATTTAGTTATAGGACTTTTGTTATTCAGTATAATTTAACTTGTACATCAAGTTAACGTATTGATTTATATTGCAAGTACATAATATGTATATTGTCACGGAGAAAATTTAAAAGTTCTTTACATTTATTTACATTTTTCCCCAAAAATTTTGAGAATAATTTTGACAACTATATAATTAAAAGGATTAAGGTACTTCTTAAAAGATAATATTGATGCATCTAAGCACAGATTACGGTATTCTATACTACTAATCATATTTAAAGAAATATTTGGATGGAAGCGAAAATTTTCTGTTTTGTTCGAATAAATTGGACATTTAATACCACTACATACTACACCGAATATTAATTAAACTATGTTAGAACCTAATTCCTGTGCAATCATCATGATGACAAACTCTTTCCTTTCTGTACATGCACACTTATAAATAACAAATTCCTTATGTTCAGGACCGAACATCTATCTTCCAAAGTGTGACAATGAAGCCATTTACTTTGGTACTTAGATCAATAGATCTATTTAAAAGAACTTTTCACATATCCTATTTCATGTTATCAAAAATCTAAAAACAGGTAAAATATGTAATCACTGATGTATGGCATAGGTTATAAATAAATATGTAAGTGACATCGTACGCTGCGGTAAGTTCTTGATTTGGTATTGTTGTGATTTTTATTTTAGTCATATAGTGCTCCATAATGCATATACATTTTAATCTTCATCTTTGTAGAATTAGGTATGTAATTAAGACGTTTATCTTCAGATAAATATTCCATCATCGTTTATAGTGTTGATAAATTCGTCCGTAGATAGTGACGCGTTCTAGGCAATCTTCTCCCATGACATGATCTAGCTTTTAACCGTCATGCGTTACATAAAATGTAAATATAATACAATATATCAAAGTAGAGTTAAATATTTTATATTCCAACAAATACAAATTGCATCACTAGACACATATCATCGGCACTTTATCATTCTTGGTGTTATAATAAATGTTACACGTGTATAAATAAATTTAATATAGTTGTCTAAGAGTACATAGATAGCGTTAATAAAATTACTTATGTTTTTAATTATCAAACTGCTCGTGAGTAGTATGATCTTTTTAAAAATGTCCAAGTAATCGTTTAATTTAATTTTTCGTAACTGGTCTATATATTGTATTTAAGAGAACGAGATGCGAAGTGAGGTCAGAAAATAAAAGAGCGTATATAATTGCAGATCTCACTCTTCTGAAAGCGTAGATTGATTTTTTATACCCTTCACTTCTGCTTTTTATTTTAATAAAACAATCCAAATATAAATTATAGTATTTAATATTTCCCAATCGAAAATTGTTTTAATTAGCGCCTTTATCTATTTGTTTTTACCTTAAAAAGAAATGTCTAAATTGAGGGACCCTTGGTGTACTTATTGAGTAAAGTTTTAAGGATAATTCACGCTTTTAGTGAATAACACTTTATTCCAAATGTCCTAATGGATGAACCACGAGAGCATGTCTATGAATTATTAACGCATAAAATGCAATAAACTATAAAGTAATTTAGATAGCACGGTGTTTCTTTAACGAATATTGTATATATTTATAATTTTAGCTAAATTGAATATCGCTTTGTCATAAATATAAAACGGGATGAAAATGTACCAATTAGGCAATATTAATATTATTAATAACGATTTAAATTTTAGAATTCATTTCCTATTTTTCTATAACAATCACATAAGATAAGTCCGTTCGGTAACATTAGTTCGAGAACAGTTGGTTCTTAATTTATTATTGAGATATAATGATGGATACAACCGATATGTGAATTTTATTTAGCACGCACAAAACTGTTATTGACGTATTGTATTGATATTGTATGATAATTGCAAACGATCCGCTTTATCCGAGACACTGCAATATAAAGTTTTTTTTCAATGTGACTATTTTACGTTAGATGCAAATCTATTTTGATTATTTTTCAACACACGTGATTACCAAAAAACTAGAAAAGTAAAAACTTTCCTAAAAAATCAAAACAAAATTCTTATGAACGAATTTCATTTTCTTTCATTTTTTTGCATTACAAATAATTATTTACTTCATAAACTATGTAGTAATTTTTGTGGCACATAATATAAAAAGAATAGACAGGTATTTGATGAGAGGTCAAATAGTATTCATTTCGCAATAGTTTTAAACAAAGTTTTAGATCATAGACGTGTCACGATAGTAGTACGCAAATGTTCATCTTGTAAGAAAACATGTCTGTTTAGCCTAAATCCATACATACATCTATATGTATCAACACATGCCAGAAAATCTTTAGTATTTTGGTATACGTCGTGCAAATTAGATTAAACAAAATCAAATGATTGTCACAAGAAGCGTAGTAAATACTTTTTTTTAATAGCGGTCACCATTCAACAAATCTCATTGAACCTGTTTCTAAAAATTTGCATCTTACCTATTTATTGCGGTGTCTCCAAGGGAAAGCTAATCGAAAATAGATCTTAAGGCTTACAGTGAATGAACAGGGCTTGTATCTTATTGTATAGCATTCTATTTAAAAATATACAATATATTATACAATTTTGAAAAATACCGTAAAGAAAATTATTTGAAATATTGTTCATTAAACATGTGAAAATAACACAATGTGTTTCATTTGTACTCATTCCTACTTCCATACGTCAAATATCCTAATGCAAGATCTGGTCTCATGACAAAGAGGATTAAATAATTCTTTTAAGAGAGGCCATTAATCAAAGAAGAAGAGGAAGGGGATAACATCCAAAAAACTATAATATTTATGTGTGTATGTATGTTATAAAAATATAATTATAACAAAAAAAAAAATGACGGAACACGTAATAAGGTGCACTATGGTGCTCTGCATCCAGTTAAGACACAATATTTGTATTCAAAGTCAAGTCAAGGTCAAAATTTATTTATACCATATAGGTTTATTTAAAGCTCTTATTAATCGTCAAAAAATCTACTACCGATTCACAAAAGTAGACCTGTCCAGAAAAGAAACGGCAATAAACTCTGCAGTCTTGTTCTTTTTCGTTTTTTTTTAATTATGTAAGTACAAAAAAGGATTTAAGTATAAAATTAGGAGCAGCCAGAGGACTTGCAAGTGCAGAGCAAGATTCATTTCCTCACATCCTTGTTCTAAATGTATTCTTCGACATTATAATAGGCCCTTTCCATAAGTATAGTTTTAACAAAATAGTTGTTGTTTACACTTAATTGTTGGTGGATATCACCTATTTTATTATAAAAGTTAATACATCTACCAAGAAACGATTTCCTGATTTTAGATAGTCTAATCCTCTATATTTTGACCGTGCCACAACGACCTCGACGCGATGCGGTATGTTTTTTTGTAAAAAACGGTGTATACTATTTCGTACATACATGATGTTCTCGATTGTGTATAGCGACGGGAGTATTAAAATGTTTACTTGCTTTTTAATATGCATTAGCGACAAATTTGGATCTGTAGACAGCCCGTGTCACTTGCTGATGTAACAATCCTAGAGACCGGGCTCAAACTACCCATCGGTCTCCTCTGACCAATAGGGAAAATATACGAACACATAGGGATATTGTAATCCTTGCTATGAAACAATGATTGCGAAAATACGTTCAATCGCTAAACATCACTCCTGAAGAGTAGTTCCGCTTTAAGGCCGGACACTCGAGTGTATTTTAGGTGCATGTTATGTCTGTCATAGTAAATACTGTTGTATTTCAACTTGAATTCTTTATTTTACTTTCGATTCAACCGAACAATATTAAAACATGTAGAAAAAGTACGAAAAGATTGTCGCCACTGTGGGAATCGAACCCACGTCTTCGACATTCGCGGCCTGACGCTCTAGCCACTGAGCTAAACGGCTGATAGCCACAGCGACGAAAATCTTAACGCCTTCTTTCTACATTGTTATTTAGGATTTGAAGCAATGATTGGCGAACAATATTGTTTTTACTGACAATAGTGATAACTATACTGTTTCTTCGTACACCATTGCATTATGCGATCGTTCGAAACAGCTATTTAAATAATTTCAGATCGGATAATTTCACCAAAAACACTGGCAGAGGCTATGATATGCAATCTAAACGTATTCAGTTTAATACAACTAATCTGATAATACCGTTAAGGCTTGCTATTTAAGATTTATAGCGTTACATTTCGTCGCTTCGTCAAATTACCCTTTCACGGGGGTGGAGGCGGGGGCGACTGTACCACCGTTTCAATTTCGTTGGGCTTTAGGAACCGCGTGAAAGTGGCCATAAATAACGCCCTTTGTAGAATTTGGGCAATTCTTTAACTGCCACAGCGAACCTTCCCTATCATTTAATATTCAGTGAGTTATTTCTAAATTATTGGTGTGCGACTATGTGCATTCGTTTTCACACTTAGCACTGGTCTTCAGTAAGGTACAAGTACTTTCGAGTCACGTGACTGGTTAGGCTTTTAACTTTGGCGATCCAGTTGCATAATTTAGCAACAGAAAGCATTCAACTAGAACAAACGCGAAAAACCGTTTTAGATAGCTCCGCTGGTGCTTTCTATGAATAAGAAAACTAACCATTTTTTTGTATGAGAAAAGTTTTTTATTCATTCATTTCAAAAACTTTTTGCACAATAAAGTACAATGGCGGACTTAACACCATAAGGCGCTCTCTACCACTCAACTGAAAAATGAATTGTGAAAATAAGGAAGCGCGAAAGTGCTAAATGAGTGAAATATCGATTAACAGATTCTATCATATAAATGAATGTTTAGACTATGTATTA